ATTTCCACTTTTCTGTCCGGCTTCACCCATTCCCTCCCCCTTTCTGGTCTCTTTTTCTATCATTGATGTTTTTTTCTCCCCCCTCCCTTCTCACTGGTTCGCCATCTCATCCTCTCGGCTTTCTTGTTTTTCTTTTTTTCCTCTCTTTTCTCTCTCCCAGGCCACAATGCTCGGAAGATAAAGCTTTCTCGTTAACAGTTCACTGGTTATGCCTACATAGTAAAAAATGTGTAGCTTGATTAATGCCTTCCAGATGGTTAATTGAAAAAAATAGGGGGAGAATGCACCAATCTCTCCCCCCTCTTCAGCACTCTGCACACATATATCGCACAGGAAGAAAACTGCATTCAAGGGTGAAGGGAGCAATATATTTGAGAAACAGGGGCAGCCTCCTAACTCGAGGACGGTGTTGCCAGGCTGATGAGTTAGCTCTGTCCCTCCTTCATGCCCTCTTCCCTCATCTATCCCACCCCAAAATTCCCCATCCCAGAGAGCAATGCTCCTTCATGTACAACATGTAACACACACAAACCCTCCTCGCATCCTCATCTGAACCTCACCACCAGTACCGTGCTTCTCTGTCCTCACCCTGTGCTCCAACACCCCCGGAGCAACACCCACCCTCATTCTCTCCCCACATTTATTTTTTGGGGGGATGCACACACTCCTCGTGTGTCTTTCATGAATCTCAATCACGCAATCATTTGCGCACGAGTGACTCTGTTACCGGAGCCGTGAGCCTGCAGGAGCGGGAGGGCTGTGCCAGTGTGGTCTGGGCTTTTGGATTTGGCAGTGCCAAAGTGGGTAGGATGGAGGGGCATGAGGGTTGGGGGGCTGCAACTAGGGCCTTTGGGGCAGCTCGGGAGAAAAGTGGGGTGATAATGTGGTCAGCTATTCTCCATAGGTCATTGCTGGGCAATTTAATCAATACATCATCTGCTCCATGGACACGTGTTGGCTGTCTCCCTCTTACATACTGACATGCCCCCCCCCCCCAGCCGTAGCTCTGCCTACTCCCGGGTTCTTTGTCTCTCTCAAGGGAGAGACAGAGGAGGAACACAAATCCCTCCCCACCCCATTAATAGAGACACTGCCTTGCTGACGTGAGTCATGGAGGGTTTATGCCATGCCGTTGGGGGTGAGCCGCATCCAGCCCCCCGCCCTGCACACCTCCCACCACGGATCTCCCGGGTTTCCAGGGAAACAGCGGCCCCAAATGCTGCCTTTCACTTCTGCCTTTCATTTATCCTTTTTCCTTTTTT